ATAGCATGGCGTGCATTTCGTTCGGTGTTTCTCCATCTGTCTTTGCCTTTGTCATTTCTGACTTGCAACCATCTGTCGGTTGGCACTTCAGCAGGGAGTTTGAAAGTCACTCTTCGAGCACCCCTGGGATGAGGACTATCAGGCCTTCGTTGTTTGTGTCTGCTATCGAAACATGGGCCCATCTGCACAGTTTCTTGATGGTTCCAGCAAGGGGCAAAGGGAATCGTTTCGAAGGCTCTGGCCATGCTTTGATCATACACAGCAGAACACCTTGGGCATATCAAGCACTTGGTTGCCCCTTTATAGCAGCGAAACACAAATTCTAGCAAACTTTCTCCAGCCTTAGGATAACACCTGAACAGCTGGTTATCCTGGCGCCAATTGTTGCCAGTTCGAGCCCTCTGTACCCTTTCGAAATTCGCAGCGATTCTCTGATTGCAGAGGATGCTGCACCTAGGGCACAGTATCATGCATGTATCTCCCTTGTGGCATGTCATGAGGTAATCCTTGAGACTAGCATCTCCAGCGTGATTATCCTTCATTTTATACTTCTCTTTTTCTAAGTATTTTTCTACCTCCTCCATCTTAGAGTGGGGTCTTTCCATGTCCACCATGTTTACCTCAACATCCTCCCCTTCAGCTTCATCATCTCCCCATCCTGTGGGTTTTATATCTTCAATGTGGACCTTCGAACTCTCTGGGGCAGAATATTTGACCAAATAGTCAAATTTTCCACTGGGTTCCCCTAGAGTGTCCCATATTTCCTTCTGAGGGGAAGTTGGCTTCGTGATTTGGACTCTCTCCAATTCTAGCCTCAGGCCTTCAGTGACCTGTGTTAACTCTTGGTTTTGATTTTCCTGGCCTTCAGTAGCCTGGGTTTCTTTTGCAACAGCTACAGGTGTTGCTTCAATCGAAGTCTCTGGTAGCTTCTGGACGTCTTCAGTGACCTCCTTATCGACTTCGACCATCACCCAGCTTTCGTTTTCAGTATCTTTCTCTCCTGTTGGGACATCACTTTGGTCAGCTTCCACCATGTTAATCTCTCCAATGCATGCAGGCTCGGAGTAGTTGGTGTCTGCGACGTCCAAGGGATCTTCGTCCACTTTCATCTTTGCCTTATCAGCAAACTTCAGTCTGCCATCTTTGATTGCATTCTGAATTAGGTCCCTGAAAAGAAAACACTGTGAGGTTTTGTGGCCTAGGAAACTATGATATTTGCAAAATCCTCTCTTCTTTCTTTGATCTAAAGGAGGTATTTTGACATTTGATGGCACAATGAGTTGGCCATCTTTGACAAGTAAATCAAAAATCTCGTCATATTTAGTGACATCGAAGGTATAAACCTTCTTTGGGAATTTGTCACTTTTCTCATTTTCAACAATCTCTTTCCCTTTTGTGGGAACCAATAATTTGCAGGAGTAAGGTGGAGCCTGTTTTAATTCAGCGAGGTCGATTTCGACCTCTTCGAATTCGAATTCAGGATAATCTTCTGCTTCCTCAGTTCCAACATAGGAGATCCTTTCTTTCTTGTTATTCTTAAAGACTCTGGCCTTTTTGGCCTTTAGCCTTTCGACCTGTCAAACCCTGTCGGCTAATTGAGCCATGTCCCTCAGATATTGAGTGTCTAGTTTCTTTCGAATAGAGTAATCCAAGCCACCAGCGGCCATTTCGACTAACTCATGTTCAGGCACCATTGTGTAACATCTGGATTTCAAAAGCCTAAATCTGTTCAGATAATCGTCTATGGGTTCAGTGAACTTTCTCTTGACACTGGCTAATTCCTTCAAGCTTATTTTCGACTGTCCCATGTAAAACTGTTCATGGAATAATCTCTCCAAAAGAGCCCAAGTATCAATGGACCCAAGAGGCAAAGTGGTAAACCACGTGAAGGCGTTTTTAGTCAAGGAACTTGGGAAATATTTGATCCTGAGATCTTCATTATTGGCTATATCTCCCGCTTCGGTTAGATATCTGGCTATATGTTCGACTGCTGACTCATTGGTATCCCCAACGAACTTTGTAAATTTAGGGACTTTATATCCCCTTGGTAAATCAGTATGAATTATGCAATCTAGTATAGGGGAAGCATAATTTGGCCTTCTCATTCCTGTGTTGAGGCCATTCTGGGCCATGACCCTCTCTATCATGGTGGTTAAATTGTTTTCTGCCAAGATGTTATCGTTTCGAATTCTATGAACAACTGCATCAGCATCTTGATTTCGACCCACCATGACAACCACCCTAGGTTGTTCTTCTCGAAACTCTGGGACTTCCAGCCTTTCGACCCTTGCCCCTGGTTCCATAATTTCTCTTTGTGGGCCTGGGATCATTGGAGCTTCTAGCCTTTGTGCCCTTGCCCCCAAGTTAACTTCTTCTCTAGGTGGTCTATAAGTTGGGTCGTTAGCAACTTGTTCCATAACAGGGATGTTTGCTCGAAATCCCGCCTGATTCTGCCTACGCCTTTCTGGGGGAGCAAAGAAATCTGCTATTCGACTCATGTTATCAGCGTTTTCTCTGTTTGTCACAGTCACATTTTGTACTATTGGGGCAAATATTTCCTGCATAGTTTGTGCTAACACCCCTATCATATTATGGTTACTGTCATCCATCAATTGCCTAAAGGCTAACTGATTTTCTGTGGTTAAAATAGGCATTGTGCTATAACCCACTGACCCTTGGTTATTTGTCATAAACTGATTCGCCCCAGACCCAGACCCTAATTGGGGTGATGAATTCGATGTGGAATTGTGTAAACCTGCCATAAAAGATGTTGGCATTCCATAAGAGGAATTTCTGGTTCTATTACCATCGAAACCGGGTGGTCTAGTTAGTGGCGTGGCGAAATGGGTTTGTGTTCCTGATGGTGGAACGAATCCCCCAGGATAACCAATGGTTCCAGTATTTTCTAAGATCGAACTATTAGTTGATATACCACTTACTCCATTAGTGGCTATATTACTGGTAGAAGATGCAACAGACTGTGCATTCGAAGGGGTCACATTAGACGTTCCCATCGAAGCGGACACATTAGTGCCTGTAGTATGTGGGGCATTTTGTTCCCCTTGTTGATTGTCAGAATTAGACATCTTGTTCAAACGTTTTCTTCTAGATAAGGCTTGATTGCTGTTGGTTATTTTACCACTTCTTAGGTTCATAAAACAACAAACTTATCACTCAGAGGGTCTTTTATAATGGTTACGTCTCAACAATCTCTATTTCTGTTCTAAATTCTGTAATGTCCAATGATTTGTCCCACCAGGTGTGCCAATTTGTTTCCAGTGATTTCTGGTAAACAACTGCTAGTCCTCCAAACTATCGAATAAACTTACAGACTGTTATTCAATTCCTCTGGTAACTCGCAGGACCGACTAGATTGATCCTAGGACGTGTTGGTCATTAGGGTAACTCTCATGATCGAACAGGTATTCATGGTTGGTATTTAGAACGTTGTGTAGGTGTTTAACTTATTTCGATTTTCTCTTAAAGATCTAAAGGTCTGATCAAAATAAATGTGCGCGAAACTAAATTGCATGAATAAAAGTTAATTGTAAAGACATGTAAAAACTGCATAAAAGACAGGTAAATGATTTCGAAATATAAAACAAAACAGTTAGTGTAAAAGATTCGAAAATATGAAGAAAGCGTTTAATGCAAGAAATCTGTAAAATGACTTTAAATAAAAATAGGCGTTCGAAGGATAAAAACTTGAAGATAAAGACATGAAATGTATAACAGTTTCTGAAATGTAAAGTGTTTGAAATGTAAAGAAAGCATTTAAATGTAAGGCATCAATGAAAAGATTTCGAATAAAAAGACTTTAGATGCAAAAAACTTGTAAATGGTATTGATACAAAGACAAAGGAAAGTACTGGAAATGATAAAGGGTTTTCATTAAATCATAAACATGTGGTGCTATCATACGTACATTGCTCTTGCATTCGTTTCCCTAGCCATGTGGTAATTTGAATGTTTACTGAGTTTTTTTGTACAAATAGATATGACACACGAAATCCTAATGCTAAGACTTTTATTTATACTACTTCGACCATAACGGTCTTGCTATAAGATTCTGCCACGTTCAGAACATGCAGAGCAATGCCTCTCTCTTACTTCCACGTGTCTTCGAATGCTCCAGCGCATATATTTCAAATTTCGAACATCCCGCTTGCATTTGAATTTCAAATGTTTTGGCACTTCTTCGCTTCGAACGCACTTCTTTAGACACAGCCTTGTTATCATTTCGAGACTTCTTTAGATATGTTCCCATAATTGCCACTCGAAGCTCTAAGCTTTGATATGCTCATTCGAAATACTGCTTCTGCTATTTCGAAACATGACGTTTTGTTTCATTTCAATCGAAACGTCCAATTCACTTGGCTTCTAATAATATTATCAAAATCTTCAGCCAACACTAGGGTAGTTTGAAAATATTTTTGAAATTTGTGATGTTTTTTAGTTACATATCTTAAAAAGTTCTTGAGTTAATTAAATATTGTTGAGAGGTGTATGGAGGAATATTAGAGGTATCTGAAATATGAGTATGGGGTTGAAAATAGAGTTTTATTGATGTTGGAATATAAGAATGGAATGGGTGAGGAGGAATAAAATGGAGATGGAGTGGTAACATATGAATATATCAGATAAGTGAAATAATTCATGGGTGGTGATGAGAGTTCAAGATGAAAGCACCAATATTAAAATGTTAAAACGAGAATCTTAAAAAATTATGAAAAATACAATAACATTCTAAACTAAAAACAAGAAGATAAAAATGACAAAATAATAAAAGACAAATGATTTGATTGATTGATTTTTAATGTCAATATTATATAATATTATATAATATTAATAAAAATCTACTAAATAACAATACATAAAAATATCAATATAAATTTTAAATTAACTTAAATCATATAATTATACCGGAGCAATATTCATTAATTATGCGCACAAAATTACACTATGATACTACTTTATATATCATGGATCTACTGAATGAACTAAATTTTATTAGGTAAAATGAAGCCTAACTGCATGAGATAAGAGTCAATATTTTCATGATGTGAGTCAGAAACTTGTGGTCGTTGAGCCAGAATCCACCTTCCATCTTCAGCCTTCACCATATTCCTGTTCAATTCTTGCCTCCACTTTGGTGGCACAGAGTGCTCATCTTTCACAAAGTCACATCCCTTATTCACCAGTGCGATGTCTCTATAAGTTGTTGCTTCATACTCACGATTTTTCCCCTGATATCTGTTCATGATCATCATCAAAGTTTATTATTATTTCATTAGGTAGTCAAGTGTTAGTGTCATAATTTTTAGACTCATTTTATCTTTCATTTAAATCATTTTATTTCTTAAGAATTTTAAACATATGAACAAGACATTTGTTTTAAAACACAGATAGAGTATTTCTTAAGAAGATATCTTGTTTCACAAAAAAACAAAATTAAAAATAGTGGACAGTATTGGACAACATGTAAAATAGGATAGCCACACAGAATAATACTAACCCATCAAGTATGTGCAAGTGGGCCTCCAAGTTATGAGCACATGCAGCGTTGGCATCAGGTCTCAAAAATGGCGAAATCTTATGGTCCAACTCCAAATCAACACCAACATGAGTATAACACCAAGGAATATCAATATCCTCCGCAATCTTCAACAACCACGGTGGCGATTTCTCATTCACCAAAAACCCCGGGGACTTGGGCACCAAATCATGCTTATTATGAACCCTCAAAACCTTAACACCCAAAGTAGATTCCAACCTCAACTTAAACTTTATATTCCCAACCCTAGGCCCTGAAAACGAAAAAACCGAAACATGAACCTTTGTTCCATCTTCCCTAACATTCAACCCTGTTTGCGCTATATCAAAAGCACTTAACGTTGCCATAGCACTTCCTAAACTATGTCCGGTTACCGTAATACTAACTTCTTCATCTGAATATTTCTCTAACAACCTTCTCATTTCGCCTAGAACTTGTTCCCTGGCTGAGTATTTACAATAACCGTCTTTCCTTTGTCGATCTGTGTACATGTCGAGAAAACCTGCTTCTACTCTAACATCATTGTCCGGACAAGGAATGTCATTGTAAACAGGTTTAAGGTAGTTTTGAAGATTCGCTACCCATTCGACATTCGTAACGGTTCCTCGCCAAGCAATAACGATGTCTCTACGACCAATCCGTTTTGTTTCTTGGTCATTTGCAACGGCGATGTAACCCATCCAGTTAGCGTGTTCCGACCAGTATTTGTCTGGCCAGCGAGATTTTTTGAAGAAATCAGGGACGTTGATGTTCGCTGTGGCGTAGAGGTAGCGTGTTACGTTGTATTTCACGTGAGGGAGATCTAACGACGGGAAAAAATCTTCGTGGTGGTGTTTGCAACTGCCGCAGTATTTTGAATACGGGTCGAAATCGAAAGCGTCGTAGCATGCTTGAGATATTTCTCCATAACGGATTAGTTCGGATCGGATTATTGGGTCCATTGGGTCGAGAAGGCCGACCCAATCATCTTCGCCGTGGATTTTTCGCCAAGCTTTTTCGATTGGGAGTTGGGTTAGTTTTGAGGTTTGTTTTGTGTTTTCGGATTTGATTAGGGGTGGGATTGTGTTGATTTGGTGAGTTGTGGTGCATTTTGTGGTAAGTTTTTTTGGTTTTTGGGATTTGAGGTGGTTGGAATTGGATCCGGTTTTAGGAAAGGCTATGAGTATGTTTGAGATTGATGCAGCCATGTTGTTTGGGTTGAAGAAGAAGAAGATAGAGTTTGGAGTTAGACTCTCACTGAACTGATTAAGTGACTATAAAATAGTAGTATAAAAGTTGCCTTTTATAGAAAACTCAATTTGCACAAAGTTGAAAGAGATCTTAATAGTCTCATTTAAATGTTACTATTGAAGATATTTTAATAGCAATACTGAATTTTTTATACTGAAATTTTAAATTATTATTAATTTATTTTAATATATGATTAATTTAGTTAAATATTAATATTTATTTTTCCTTTGTAATTAACATCTATTTCACAATTATAAATTGAGAATTGCTATTCATACACTAAAAATCATATACGGTATATTTACAGCGTCTAAAATACAACATGTGTTTATCTATATCTGAAAAAGTGGAGAAAAAAATTATTAAATATAGTAAAAAAACAAAATAGTACTATAAAATTACAGTGTCAGTTGTCACTTTTTAGTGTTGGAATATCTTTCTCTTATAAATTTGATCTAAATTAGTCTTATATTCAACTTAAGTAATTAGTATAATTTTGTATTGATTAATCTTGTGACATGTTTAAGAAAAAATTTTAATAAATATTTTTTTTAATAGAAGTGAATATATATATATATATATATATATATATATATATATATATATATATATATATATATATATATATATATATATATATATATATATATATATATATATATATATATATATATATATATATATATATATATATATATATATATATATATATATATATATATATATTGTACATCCTGGAAATAACAGACTCTACTGGTAGTGTGATCGGCAAGGAAAAAGGGTAGACTAGTAAACAGTTTAGAGTGAGGCTATCCAGGGTGCAACTCGATTGGGGAAATGCCAGACGTCCCATGAGCTTGGGTAGCAACTCGTCCTCACCTTCGACCCGGATGATGAAGATAACCGGGTAGCACCTGCTCATAACCGGTCATTAACTCGGCCCATTAAAGTCTGCAATCGTCGGCGGCGCATTCGTTGCTACTTTACACAACACTAATCATCTTCATTCATGGAGATGACGGTGGTTACACAGTTATGAAATTCAAGAGTCACTCATTAACTGAGACTCTTGATGAAGCAAAAATACTCATTATATAAAGGGGCTCTTGACAGAGGGATAAGCAAGACATTCATTTTGGGACGCACGCATCACTATCGTAGCTCCCAAATCCTCCAATCATCACATAAAATCCCTTCGGTGGGCTCTCCCTAGCAACTTCTTGAGAAGTCGGCCGAATATTTGTTCAAGACAGGAACATTGGCGCCCACCGTGGAGCTTTGGTAAAATTATTCCTGGTCACACCCCAATTTTCCTTATGCAAAATGTCATCACCTGGAGACCCCCCAGACATGGCGCAACTACTAGCCATAGAGGAGGCCCTCAGGAAACAGAACAAAACTCTGCAAGACAGTGTCACAGACCTACAACAAAGAAACGTAGGGAACGAAGGTCCGAAAGAGGAGCTTCTGGAACCTCAACCTCCATCTCAAGCTATCTGGGACGACCAAGTCCTAGAGAACTTCAAATCACCATCATTGACGGCATATGATGGCAAAACTGACCTGCAAGAGCATGTTATCGCCATTAACAACCAAATATCAATAATCGGCCTCACTGATTCATTGAAATTCAAACTAATGGCTGGCACCTTCAAGGACGTGGCCTTGCGATGGTACATGAGCCTACCACGAATATCAGTGGAAAGCTACGCGGACCTAACGAAGAAATTAATCCAACACTTCTCCGCCAAGAAACACCGCAAGGTTTCCACGACGTTCATGTTCAACGTTCGACAAGGTCAGGCAGAGTCTCTCCGAGAATACCTAGCCTGATTCAATGAAGATACTATCAAAGTGTCTCATCCAAACCAAGAGTTATTCGTTGGAGCATTCCATCACGACCTTCGAGCAGGACAGTTCAATGAATCCTTAGCCCAAAAACATGCATCCAACATGAACGAAATCATCACTAGGGCGGACTGCTACATAAAGGGCGAGGAGAGCAATCTGGAAAAACGGTCCAGAGATACGCCAGAGATAAACAAGACCAAATAAGAGGGATTAGGAAAGAAATCAGAGTCTTCTCAGGAGACCTCAAGAGACAGACCCCAGGAACGCACGACTCCCTTCAATTTAGGTGATGCAGAGACTCCCTTAAATACAAAGAGAGGTGAAATCCTGCAGGAGGTATCACACCTAAGCCTGATCACCTAACCACCCCATAGGGGGGAAGTCAACACCGTACTAGGGAATGATACAGGGGCTTGGTGTATCTATCACCGACTCCGAGGACATCACACTGACGATTGCCTCCAGTTAAAGAAAGAAATCGAGAAGCTGATACAAATGGGGCACTTGATAACTTATGTCAAAGAGGGCAGAACCCCCGCTGGTAAAAGAGATACCCGACAAAAGGATACATGCTCGGATGAGCCTTCCCAAAAGATGGGGAAAGGTACCAAAGAAGTACGCGAGACTAAGACAGCTCGACATACCCTTAACACCATCGCATGCGGATTCACTAGCGGTAGAGAAACCAGCTCGGCCAGAAAGAAGTACGCCTGCGACGTGATGCACGTGTCTGAGGATATAGCCAAGGTCCGGGAACAAGATCTCAACCCAGTTAGCTTCTCCAAAAAGGGACGTGGTAGGCATCATGGCCCATGAAAACAATCCTATAGTCATCAAGGTATAAATCTGGGACTGAAGTGTAAAAAAGGTGTTGGTGGTCCTGGTAGTTCTGTCGATGTACTTTACTAGAAAGCCTTCAAGGGAATGGAATTTGACACGTCCCAGTTGCTTCCCTTCAACATCGTCTTGGTCGGATTCTCTGGAGAACAAGTGTAAGTATTAGGACACCTCCGGGTACTCACTACCTTCATAAGCACCACAAATACCAAAACCGTCAGACAAAGATACTTGATTGTTAACACCGCCTCACCCTATAACATCGTTATAGGGAGACCCTCCTTCAATGCCCTGAAGGCCACGTTATCCACCATGTACCTCACTATGAAATACCCCCTGGGGGACGGCTGAGTCGGGATGGTGAAGAGCGACCAAGGATTAGCCAGGAAATGCTATAAGGATAGCCTGAAATTAAAAAAAGATATAATCCTAAGAGCCCAATTGATCTAATGAGCTTAAAATCAACATGATTGACATAGACCCTCAGGATGATACACGGGAGAAAAGCCTTTCTCCCCATGATGAAACAAAGAGGGTCCAGATTGGCACCACACCCTCTGAGGTAACTTACATAGGGTACAATATTTCCCAAGATGAAGAAACAGAGATCGTGGAGCTATTGAAAGAAATGTAGACCTATTTGCTTGGAAGCCTTCAGATATGTCCGAGATAGATCCCAACTTTATGTGCCACCACCTAGCCTTGAATCCGGATACCAAACTGGTATCTCAGAGAAAAAGAAAGGGTGGAGATGAAAAGAAAAAGGCCATAAAAAAGGAAATCGAGAAGTTACTTGATACTGATTTCATCAAAGAAGTAAAATATCCCACCTGGATGGCTAATATAGTAATGATCAAGAAGATGACATGAAAGTGGAGCATGTGCGTTGACTTCACAGATCTCAATAAGGCGTGTCCCAAGGATCTTTACCCGTTTCCACAAATAGATCGACTCATCGATGAAACCTCAGGGTACATGATCCTCAACTTCATGGAGGCCTACTCGGGTTATAATTAAATCCGCATGAGCCCATCAGATGCGCCAAAAATTTCCTTCATGACCGACCGGAGCAACTATTATTACAAAGTGATGTAGTTAGATCTCAAGAATGCGGGATCCACCTACCAGCGGTTAATGGACAAGGTATTTGACACTCAAATCAACAGGAACTTAGAGGTATACATAGATGACATGGTTATAAAAACCAATGGTGAAAAGCCGCACATGACAGACTTGAAAGAAACGTTCGCGTACATAAGGTAGTACAACATGAGACTTAACCCAGACAAATGTATCTTCAGAGTTCAAGCTGGTAAGTTCCTGGGATTTATGCTCACAAACCGGGGAATAGAAGCCAACTTGGACAAGTGTGAAGCAATCATAGACGTGCGCATTCCATCTTTAAAAAAGGAAGTACAACAACTAACGAGAAGATTGGCCGCTTTGTCTTGATTCCTATCATGCTCTGAGGACAAGGCGATCCACTTCTTCGCAGCCCTCAAAAAATCAGAAGATTTTGAATGGACGACAGCATGCGAGGAAGCCTTTCAAAGAATAAAACACTTTATGTCCTCTCCACTGATCCTGACAAGACTGGAAGAGAATGCACCATTGATCTTATACCTGGCGTTTTTCGAAAAAGCTATGAGCTCAGTACTCGTTCAGGAAGGAGAATATGGGGAAAGACCGGTGTACTTCGTTAGAAAGTTTTGAAGGTATCTGAGTTGCGATACCAGAAGATTGAGAAGCTGGCACTAGCATTGATTATGATGGCCCAGAAGTTAAGACATTACTTTCAGGGTCATCTGATAACCGTAAGGACTAATTACCCTATCAAGCAGATACTGAAGAACCTGAATCTGGATGGTAGGATGGTTACGTATGTGATAGAGTTGTCAAAATACGCTATCGAGTTCACTCTGATAACTGCCATCAAATCACAGTCACTAGCTGACTTTATAGTGGAACTAAGAAACCTGATACTCGAAGAAAACACGAGAGGGTGGACCCTTCATGTTGACGATTCATCCAACCTTAAGGGAAGTGGGGCCGAGGTTGTCCTCGAAGGACCCGACAACTTTGTGCTAGAATACTTCTTGAGCTTCAACTTTCAGGCTCGCAATAACCAGGAAAAATGCGAGGCCCTCATAGTAGGGATGAAATTGACTAAGGAGGTGGGAGTCACCCATCTAACTACTAACACTGATTCTCAATTAATTGTAGGGCAAATGAAAAGGAGTATCAGACAAGGGACTCAACACTGTTGAAA